TAGATGGTCCAAAAGTAAGGTTGTAGGTGGGTGTTGGGCTTCAGTTTGTCCTCCAGCCTGAAGGTGGTGCTGTGTCACTTCGTCAGACTGGCAGGAACTTGTTTTGGATCAAGTTGTTCCCTATTATGGGCTCCAGGCAGTATAATTTTGGGGAGACAGGTGTCTCCTATTTGATTCTAAAATCCTGTGAGATTTAGGTGGCCATTTCTAATAGAAGTGTTTAAATAGCTTTTCCTGCATCATTCTGGTGCGCCTTCAGTGTGGGAGTAGGTCAGGGGCAGATCCTGCTTGGTAGGGAGAGAGTAGGTGCAGCATCAGGAAGGAAAAATCAGGTTTCCTTTTACAAATCATCTCTTCTGCCAACTTGGAACTGTCTACTACACAGCCATGTGCAAAGCCTTGAAATATATTTCCTCTTTTGCATCCAGATTGGGATGACATCCACTTTATATTTGCTACATGTCCTCATTCACATAGCATAACTTATAAAATATTTAAAAATTTCAGCCTACCTTTTTTAGACTTTTTTTTCCTGGAATATCCAGCAAGGACAAATCCTGCATAGTTCACTTTGTTATGAGGGGGCTGGAAAGTATAGTGTGTGTGTTTGCCATAGCTAGCCCTGTCTGTACTGTGCAGGCAGATCTTCATTATCAATTGGAACTAGATTTGAACACTGTCTGTCCTAACAAAGGGTTAAGACTTCAGAGGCTGGGCCTTTTGCATTGTATGTTAATGAGGATAGAGTTAGGACAGACTTACTCTGACATTCAAAAATTCTTGTATTCAGCCATGACACCTAATGAGAAACATCAAAAAGGTAAGATTAAAAAAAAATTAGGTATGGCCTGTGAATGGGAACACATAACATACATGTTTTTGTTTTTCTCAAAATTTGACTGCAGAAGTGGAAATACTCTTTAATAATAGATAGCAATCTGGATTATAATTTTAGTAAAACTTCCCTATATATACTCCCATTCGCTATATTATCAATCTAGTCTAAAATCTTGCTGTGTTATAAGGCCGCTATTAGTATGTCCACCAGTATCAGGTGTGTTTCTGCTTTGAAAAAAATAAGTAAAAAGTGCAGCCATTTCAGATAAGGATTAAGAGTTGCAGACTATACATTTCAGACAGGGATGTCTGAAATGTTGAATGGATATAAAAGATTATAATGTTGTTTTAAATAGATTGTTTCTGTGCTCACATACTGTAAATATATATAATTTTTATAACTTTTTATTGCAGATCTTATCTTGACTGTGGCTGATAGTCCTTCCCAGGAATTTCTCCTTGACTACCGACTACCTATACATAGGCTGCAACCCTTTCACCCATATCATTTTTGTCTGGTGCAGGTACTACAGGAGTGTGAGCTTATCTGCAGTTACATATCCAAGACTAGTCTAAAATCCTATTACACAAAAAAAACCAACAGACCAAAAATGGTTCTAAAATCAAAATATTTTCAAGCGTACCTGGTATTTATGCTCTGAAATACATAGAAAGAATGAGAGCTTCACAAGAACTTGAATAAGTCCAGTAAAATATATTTTCCATGATAGATACTTGTTCAGGTAATAGATGCAAAGAGATACAGAGTAATATTGGATGCGGAAAAAGAAAGCCATGTACTGTATGGAGTTGTGTAACTGGGGAACAGATCACTAGATTGGGAGGCGAAACACCAACCCCCTTGCTACCGAAGGGCCTGTCACCTATGCCAGGTACCATGCTTATTGACCGGCTGCCATACACTCCCACCAGTATATGGTTAACCGTGGCAACTACTGCTCTGACCCCATGGGTGTTCTCAGGTCTTGTTCTTCTGATACACCATGTTCTACCATGCACTCCTTTAGAGTAACTTCAGGCATTTGAAATCAAGAACTTTTACTGAAGGCTTCAGCAAGAATGGATGGACATAAATGGACGTCAACTTTTTTCCATGCCATCACATCGCATGTGTGCTCATATGTTGTAATATTGATCATTATATGACGCTTCAATAAATCCACACATTTTAGCGGAATGTGCAGCCAAAATTTTTCTGATTTCTTGTTGGCTCCGGAGGAGAGCCGGGTGTGCACCTCTGTCAGTGTTGGATAGGATCCTGTCGCACCACTTGGAGTGGTGTTTCTTCTACATGAAGGCTTCAGCAACATTTAAAAGTCACAATGCTCACTCATTTCTCCAAAGTCCAAAATTGGCAGAGTCTATTAGTGGAGAGTCCTTTGGGGGTGGAAGGTGAACCTTTCTCTGGGCTACATCTTTTTCTGTGTTCTAAACCTTCTTGCTTCTTGTGATCCCGCTGGCAGCGTCTGAGCCCGGCCTTCCCGCTTTTTATATGTCAACCAGTGTGCAGGGCAGAACCCAAAAAAGCTTGGGAAACCAATTCGCTCAAAGCTTAGCCCTTCCCTAACCTGAACAGCTAACTCTCGCTTACTAGAAGCACACTTAGTAGGCACCTGCCTTTGACCGCACACTGGAGGATTCACTAGTATCCATGTTTTTTGCAGGGTGTATCCACAAGCATGACATTGATAGTTCCCACTTTAGGACCACTCCTTTTAACGTGTTTCACCAAACAGGGTTTAGTCATAGAGCACTAAAACTAAACATTATATGGTTAAACTTATTGGTTTGTGAGCAGGGACAGCTTGTGTTGCTCCCAGCAGCTGGGCTTCATGTGGCAGTGGAAAGGAGCAGCTTGGAGCAGAGAATTTTAATTCTAAAGATGCTGGACAGTAGTTGCAAATCAAATGGATACTGTTGTAGTGTATCGGGCACCAGTCTGACATGCAGACTGGACCCATTCAAGCTCTTATGGCACTTCCATCCTTTTGTAAGTTCTCCAGGGGCACTCTTGGACACCATGGCTGACAGACATCTGCCTCTAAAAGTTGGACTCTTATTTTAAGATGTGATTACTTTGGAGTTTAGCGCTCTATCAACGCTATCTACTGTTATTCATGCTCAGCAGAGATACAGATTTATTGGTTAGCAATATTTCTACAATGATATTCTAAGTATCATTTCTGAACTTGATTACATAATGAGCCCATTTATAATATCAGATATTTTCAAAGTACCTCTGGCACAGTCTGTACACATTTTATGGTGGCCTCTGTGTTCACTTAATCTTTTCTATTTCCTGTATTTTAAAAAAAAAATACACCTTCTGGAGGTACTTCATATAAAGCATAATAATGGCAAAAGATATAAACAGGTAGAAGTGACCTTTCACCTTTGAGAATACTCTTACCACTAGCTGAGAACCAATGTTGTAGGGTAATTAAAATGTTCTCCCTTTCTTGTGGTAAGATGGACACACTTTACATGCTCACAAGCATAAAATAATTTATTCCCTATAGACAAATAAATTATTCAAAATCTTATGTGTGAATTCTGTGATTATGATATGTTATATTTACTTCTCAGCCACATGATCAGGGTGCCGGTGAATGCCATCTTTATGTCAGCATTGAACGCAGAAGTAGCTCCATAGCTCAACAGAGTGGGTTCACTTATTGTGCTTTACAGGTAAGTTTGACAGGTCAGAACCAGCCCATGCATTGTGATTAGGTCTATATACAAAATCTCCTTGGTTTCTCCACTAGGTTCTTCTTGTTGGAATAGAGTCTCCGCTTCAGGGATCTTCTCATCCTCTTTTGGCAGTAGCACGAATTGTTCCCAATTACCGAGATTACAGGTATAAATATTGTACGAAGTATAACATGGATACACACATTCAACTTCCTTTTTTCACTGTCTAGATCTGCTGAATGCAACTGGGGTTTTGTGAAACTATAGGGTTTCTCCAGAAGTTTTTGGGGGTTGCTTGAATTGTGACTGATTTCCCTCTTATCTAATGGTTCCTGCATAATTCTGGACCTAAGACCACCATGATGACAACCAATGACCTTTTTTGTTGTCTATAAGGGTGACATTCCTCCCACTGACCACCAATGTAAAGGGCATTCTTCAGACTGACCCTTGATGAAGTCACTTTACCAGGATTCCCCGAGACTTGGAAATTATTTCAAGGGTTCCTTTGGGGGTTAAAAGTTGAGAAAGACTGGTCTAAATAGATAAGTATAATAAAAGCATCATAAAAGTAAAATGTGTTGCCCTGACTGAAGTCTACAAAGCTCAGTTAACACATCAAATATATTGTATATATTCGACGAGTGTAATGTTGCATTCTTTCAAATAAGCTACTCAACTGGTGGTGGGGGGAGGGGATTCTTGGGATGAACTACTCTTGTCAATTGGCTGGATTGTTGGTGTGGGACTGTGTGCCTACATAGCAAGTATGGGATGTTTACCTAGTGTTTCTGTTTTTTTTATTGTTAGCGTTTCATTGCATGAGTACAGTTGTACTACCTTGAGCTGGGGAATGCCCCAGAGGCTTTGTTTTGTACTGCACTTTTATTGAAAACAATAAAAAAGAATTAAAAAAAGAAGCTATTTTACTACTTGCTGTCCGACCCATGTACATAAATGGCCGGATGGGAGCAATGCCGAAGCGGTCTGCCGTTTACTGCCTGTGTGCGCTCCCTTGGGAGCACGCATCACTGTGATCCGGTGCCCGCTGTGTCTGGAGGACATAGCGGAACATCGATCACTGTATGGGAGCTCTGTGTGAGGTCATGATTCATGTGATCACTGATTTGCAAATCAGGGATCACATGAATAGTAGTAAACAAGATGTCACTTCCTGACATCATTGCCTACTACTAGTGAAATCTGTGAATGATCACAGAGGTAACATGGTACAAGGCTATTCACAACAGCCTTGTACCATGTGACAAGCTGTGACCAATCACAGCTCTCACGGTATTTCTCAATGGATGCAAGAATGCAGCCAGAGAGAAGGAGAAATGATTATTTTTACAGCCTTTATGGGTGTAAAAGCAATCAATGTAAAAAAAAAAAAAAAAAAACTGCATCACCCCCCACAAGTGGTACAGTGTCATTATGGTGACACTGTACTGCTAGAGTGACGGTATGTTAAAAAACAAAGCAAAAAACATAAATAATAATATAAAAAAAAATAAAAATGTAAAATAAATTTGAAAAATTATAATTTTTGGTTATAAACTAATTTGGGTTATATTTTTTTTTTTACTAAAAAGATAGATGAATACATTTTGGCCAAGATTTATGAAGAAAGATTATTTATTTGAAAAATTTTATAAGAAGAACACTTTTTTTTTTAAATGTTTGGACTTTTTCATTTATATAGCAAAAAATCCCATTGGTGAATAAATACCACCAAAATAAAGTTTTATCTGGCTCAAAAAAATGCTAACAAATTCATATGGGTACAGTGTTGCATGACCGGGCAATTGTCATTCAAAGTATGATAGCACTGAAAGCTGAAAATTGGCCTGGACTAGAAGGGGGTGAAAGTGTCCGGACTTGAAGTGGTTAAGTATTTAGTCCTAGGGCCTTTAAAGAGATCTTGTAATTTTAAAAAATGCAGCAAAAAGTAGTTAACATGCTTACTTTCAGTGTTTTGCTTTCCATACATTATTTTTCATTCACTTGCAATGTGCCTTTGAACATACTGGAAAAGCTGACTAGTCAATTCCTTAGTACACCCCCTCCCTACTTGCATACCTCTCTCTTCTTCTGATAGTGTCTAACAGGGGCGGACTGACAACTCAAGGGCCCCCGGGCAATAGGGGATCATGGGGCCCCTGTGCCCTTGCCCAAACTCAAAAAAGCCTATGAAAAAGGTACCAGGGGCATCTCATGGGGCCCCCTACAGACCCCGGGCCCTCGGGCAGTGCCCAATATTCCAAATGGTAAGTCCTCCCCTGGTGTCTAATTACCCTCTGTGCTGTCCCAGCTCCTCCACCCCTCCCTCAGCTCCCTAAATAACATTTTAAGTATCTACTGGGGAGGGGTGGAGCAAGGGCAAAAACTATTATATACTAAGACAAATGAACCTCAGCTTGTCATCATATTTTCTTCCTATATAGCAGCAGTCAAAATGGGAAAAGCATGATCTGTACTAGAACCTAATAAGACCTTGCTGTAGTACACATATGTTGAAAGTAAACATGCTGACAGGAGGAGAGGACAGAGTGAGCAGAGAGATAAAATCATCTTCTGCTGTTGTCTATCCTGTCAAGCTGGCAAGTTGAGGATGGCTCTGAACCAGTGTTCTGGACCATCCTGTGCTGAGGCACAGCACAGGATAAATGGCACTGCAGCACACAAACGCGTATACCATACGTTGCTTCGTATTGGGGCAATGTACGTTAGCACAATGCCACAGTGTGACTCCAGTCCTAAAGTAACATAATATATCATATCTTCTAACCAACAGCCAGACCCACAAGCCTCCTGGTATGAGCGGGGTACCTCAAGTCACGGCTACATTTCCAGATCCTTCTCCATCTTCATTCCTCGTGCCACGGAGAGCCACACAAGGACACCCACAGGTATTATTGATGTGCATAATCTGTTACCTATAAAATGCCAGCAATACATTGTTGTCTCTTGTGAGGTCTGGTTATTATTGTTCATGCTTTGATTTTCTGTCACAGAACTCCGTTCTCTGCATCTGCTGGCATAAAACACATAGTTACAGATTTCAGTACATCCCACACATCAAAGGAATTGTTTATATAGTAAAATATTAATGGAAACCTGTGCCTGTCCTTCAAACTATATTTGTAAGCAGCTACTGTTCACCATCTGGGAGTTCTTACACATGGGTAGAGCCCGGATTTTGGGAATATTGTTTGTCCTAAAAAGAGCCAGGATGATCAGACTGTCTCTTGCTCCATCCAAGTTAGGTACATCGAGGGATATTTGCTATGACTGGAGCAGACAGCATTTGGAGCAGTTGTGCATGGCAACCAATCAGCTTCTTGCTTGCATTTTCAAAGCAATGTACATTAGCACAATGCCACAGTGTGACTCCAGTCCTAAAGTAACATAATATATCATATCTTCTAACCAACAGCCAGACCCACAAGCCTCCTGGTATAAGCGGGGTACCTCAAGTGGTTGTAAACCTCTAACATGAAAAATGAACAAAGCATATCTCTCAAAAGTGTGTACTTGACTCAGTTAAGAGCACTAACGAGCAGGGCCCTCTGTTTCCTCTTGTACCAAATTATATTGTAACTGTAATGTCTACCTTCCTTTTGTAAAGTGCTGCGCAATTTGTTGGCGCTATATACATCCTGTATAATAATAATTTATTCCTCTTGCATTGTTCTACTACTATTTATTTATTTCAGGTACTTATATAGCGCCATCAACTTATGCAGTGCTTTACATATATATTGTACATTTACATCAGTCCCTGACCTTCAAGGGGTGTACAATCTAAAGGTCCCTAACTTACATTCATGCATACATATACTAGGGCCAATTTAGACAGGATCCAATTAACCTACCAGCAGACTTTGAAGCATGAATAACTTATGTCAGGTTTTCCTGATACCAAGAGAAAAATGGTGACAGGGAGGGACCTCTTGCAGATTGACAGCCTCAGCTCTGTTCTTGTGTGTTGTATGAGGGGGGTGTGTCTCTTCCCTCCAATCAGCAATCAGAGTTTTCCTCACTGAGCTTTGCAGAGTGTAACTTCAGCTCTCTACCCCTTTTTCTGACAGCTCAGACAAGCGTATAAATTCTGTACTTTGAACTGATGTAGAGAAGAGAAGGCTGCAGATAGACAGATACAACTTATGTAGGAAGGTCTGTTTAAGCTCTGTGTATCACCTGAGGACAATCACTTCACTGGGTATATGTAAGGGTTTTCTTTAAGCATTTGTGTACCTTAAGCATTAGGTAAAATACACCCCCCCCCCCATTTCTAAACACTTACCTGCCTCCCCTCACCAGTCCAGCACTATCCCTGCTGCATCACCGCACTTTCACTTTCTGGTCTCACAGGAGACTTAGGCAGCAGCGGAGCCATTGGTTCCTGCTACTGACAGTCAAATCTTGTGAGGAGGGAATGGAGGATGTGGCGCAGCCTTGCTTGGTGTGTCTATGGATGCACACAGCCCAGCTTGGGAGCAACTCATACAGGTGCCCCCTCAGCCCATAGCTTTCTGAGCAGGCACTTGAAGAAGGGGAGGGAGTCACTGGCATGGGATTCCATAAGATGAGGTAAGGTGCCCCCCTGTGCAATACCACAGTACAAAGCAGGTAAGAATAACATTTTTTTTATTTTAAATGAAACAGTTATCATTTACAATCACTTTAAATAAACAGGCTGAAGGTTTGCACAGCTGCTCCAGATTCTGTGTGTCTCAATTTTAGTAAATCTCCCCATTGCCGTCATATACACTGCTCAAAAAATTAAAGGAACACTTTTTAATCAGAGTATAGCATCAAGCCAATTAAACTCCTGGGATATTGATCTGTGCAGTTAAGTAGCAGAGGGGGTTGTTAATCAGTTTCAGCTGTTTTTGGTGTTGATTAAATTAACAACAGGTGCCCTAGATGGTCAACAATGAGACAACCCCCAAAACAGGAATGGTTTTACAGGTGGAGGCCACTGACATTTTTTTCCCTACTCATCTTTTCTGACTGTTTTTCATTAGTTTTGCATTGGGCTACGGTCAGTGTCATTACTGTTAGTATGAGGCAATACCTGGACCCTACAGAGGTTACACAGGCAGTCCAACTCCTCCAGGATGTTACATCAATACATGCCATTGCCCGAAGGTTTGCTGTGTCTCCCAGCACAGTCTCAAGAGCATGGAGGATATTCCAAGAGACAGGAAGTTACTCTAGGAAAGCTGGACAGGGCCGAAGAAGGTCTTTAACCCATCAGCAGGACCGGTGTCTGCTCCTTTGTGCAAGGAGGAACAGGATGATCACTGCCAGAGCCGTACAAAATGACCTCCAGCAGGCCACCGGTGTGAATGTCTTTGACAAAACAATCAGAAACAGACTTCATAAAGGTGGCCCGAGGGCCCGACGTCCTCTAGTGGGCCCTGTGCTCACTGCCTGGCACCATAGAGCTCAATTGGCATTTGCCATTGAACACCAGAATTGACATAGTTGTTTGGCTCCTTTTTAAATCATAATGATAACAGAAATCACCCAAATTGCCCTGATCAAAAGTTTACATACCCTGGAATGTTTGGCCTTGAACAGACACAAAAGGTGACCCACACAGGTTAAGTCCTGAATAACAAGGTAATGGAACTTTATCAAGATGGAAAATGATATAAAAGTATATCCAAAGCCTTGAATATGCCAGTCGGTACTTTTCAATAACTTATTAAGAAGTGGAAAGTTCGGGGATCTCTTGATACCAAGCCAAAGTCAGGTAGACCAAGAAAGATTGCAGCCATAACTGACAGAAGAATTGTTTGGGATACAAAAAAAAACCCACAGGTAACCCCTTGATCTCCATAGATGTTAACCCCTTCCCAGCCAGTTTGTCAATGTCAGTTAGTGTCAGACTGCCTTCCGCACTCTCACAGTCCCATTATAAGTATCTCATCTTTCCCATTAGTAGTATAAGAAAAAAACACCAGCATATATACTATAATTTGTAAGTGCTATAACTATCATGCAAACAATAATCAATATACATTTATTGGGATTTTTGTTATCAAAGATATGTAGCAGAATACATTTTAGCCAAAACGTATGAAGATTCAATTTTTTCAATTATTTTTTATTGAATGTTTTATAGCAGAAGGTAAAACATATTGTTTAGAAAACAATTAGTCTTTAGAAATAATGCCTAATATAGCAGATGACACTGTGTACAGAGCATGTTGGACTTTTTAATAAAACAATCCAGCAGCAGCTACTCACTTTTGGACTGTCTCTCTATACTTGATACTCCCTTCACAGCTCAATGAACTGGGAAGAGGTGTGACCCATGTCTGGACCATTCAGCTGTGTGTTTTGAACAAAGATGAACATCATGGGAACAAATTACAAATGTGTAGTCAGTCAGTAGACTCTAGGGCTCTACCTGCTGGCTGCATATGCTAATTTGGAGATATTTATATCCCAATATCTCATATATACTGTTCCTGAATAAACCAATAGTGACTCCATCATTAAACTAAAATACTATCATTGTGTGTGAATAACAGATGACTGTACCTCCAATACAACTGCTCCACTCTCCCCCTCTTCATGAGCAGTATTAGTGGCCAAGTCTGTAAGTATCCATGCACTGGAGCGCAGGCCAGCTGCTGTATGCAGAATTAATAGTGTGCTGGTGGGGCTGATGGGGAGTGCTCTGAGCTCACCAAAAACTAGAGGAGCAAAAACAGGATATTATTTGCAAATTACAACATGTTTGTTTTTTCCTGAACAGAAATCAAATTCACGGTTAAAATTTTGTTTGTTCAGATAAGAAACGAGAAAACATTTCCATCCCACACCTTAAAATTTTCGCATTGCTAGAAAATGATTGTTGATCTGACCC